CTTAACAGACCTCCTGGCCAAATAAAAATGTTCTCTCCTAGAGCCCAACCTGCCTGACCTTACTTGGCATTAACGTTTCACATGAAAAAGTGGCAGTTACCTCCTGGGGAAACCCTATTTCCTAATCCACTGTTGAAGCCAAACCACCCAGTTAGGCCCTCCCCTGAGGCCCTCCTAATGTCGAGGCTGAGCTCTCTGACCTTCTGCTGCATCAGAAGCTGATGGTATGCACTGGGTAGTGGCAGCCCATCAAAATGAACACGTATTTAGGAATTTTTATTTTTAGAAATTTAAATGAATTTTTAAATTAATATCAAATTTGCATAAACATCCAGAATATAATGAATAAAGGTTTTCTATTTTTTAAATTTATTTGGCTTTTTTGAGGCAGAGTCTGACTCTGTCACCCAGGCTAGAGTGTAGTGGTGCAGTCTCAGCTCACCGCAACCTCCGCATCCCAGGTTCAAGCAATTCTCCTGCCTCAGCCTCCTGAGTAGCTGCGATTACTGGCACCTACCACCATGCCCAGCTAATTTTTGTGTTTTTAGTAGACATGAGGGTTTTACTATGTTGATCAGGGTGGTCTTAAACTCCTGACCTCAAGTGAACTGCCCATCTTGGCCTACCAAAGTGCTGGGATTACAGGCATGAGCCGTCATGACTGGCCCGGTTTTGTATTTATTTAAATATCCTATAAAGAATAATTACAATAAAGCTCTATGTACTCACCAGTTAAACTAAAGGAATAGAACACAATAATGCAGTGGACAGTAAATTTCATGAATGTAAAATGTCCTACTTTGTCCCATTTAACATTTTTTTGTTTTGCACTCTTCTGTATTTAAACTAGACTGTTATATTTTTAAAAAATTAAATAGTAAGTTTTTAATCATTACTTTCACTTTTATTTTTTAGTATCACTTTAGTTTTCATAGGTCTTACACAGTTGAATTTTGTTTTTTGACCTGATTTGCATATATAATTAGACTAGATATATTTGGTTTTATCATTTTCTGTTTTCATATTTTATATATTTTGTTGTGTTTAATATCTTGCTAAACTGGTTTTCTATTTTTAACTGTATTTTCTTTTTTGTTCTATTCTCTAGTATCTTAGTAGTATTACTTTTGATACTAGTGACTATTACTGCTGCTAATTCTGTTTCTTTGATACCAGTAAGATTAGTGGTAACCTTAAGTTTTTAATAGCATTATTTAACTTTAATTTCTCTACTGTCAGTAAAAAGTGAAATGTATCATTTTAAATGACCCCTATTTAAAATGAATTTTTTCTTTAACTCTTTTTTTTCTCATCTAAATGTCTAGTTCTTTATGTATAAAATAATCAAGAATTATTATTAAATGACTTCTCTTTCAAAAATATTTTTTGGAATTGCATTTTAGTTTATAACTATATACATATATCATTATTCATATTTATCTTTATTAAAAAAAAAGAAAGGTCATTGTTCACCAACAATTCTGTGCAGCCACCTCACAGTCCTTTGGGAAGGACCAGGTAGGAGGGTGATGTGGGCTCCTGTACTCAGCGGAGCCCCGAGTTTCAGTCCCTCTCCTTCCTGAAGTTCCCCTGCATGCTCAGGTGGGTCTGTATGGCTTTTATTCCCCGGAAGAACACGGAGACCCCTACTTTACCCCAGTCGTCTTTTTTCCTAACCATCTGAGGTCGGAGCTGGGGGAGGACAGATGATGGGGCAATGGGAAAAGTAACTGCCACACCATTGAGCAAGGCGCCTTTCATTTTGAGCAGCTAGTGGCTGCATATGGCTCAGCCAAATTTGTAATGTCATCAGTTTATGCATAGGTCTACAGCCTCATTCCTGACACTGTTTATTCGGCTTTGGGACTCCTCGATAGAGCAGCTGTACCCACAGGACCTTTTAGCTGGTGTTGCAGGCTCGCTGTTGCACCGTCACGATAACATTCCTTCCTGCTTCCGCTCAGAGGAGAGGGAGTGACAACCTAGCCAGCAGTGGGCTCAGCCTCGCTACCTACCTTGGCCTGCAGACTGTCGCCAGCAGCTAGGACTGCTTGGGGTCCCTGCTCCTCCTGCTTGCCCACCAGATAGGCGAGCACAGTCACTACTATTAATAGATCCAGGAGTCTTCGCACAGCCCTTAAGCCAATCTGCAGGGCCCCTCTTTCGTTTCCAGAAAGCCGTCTATTAGCCTTCTATCCTTGTCACCCAAACCTGTCAAGAACTGTGAAGGGTCTGAGGTTTTATCCTGCTTCCAAACTAACCTAATCTCCCAGTTTCATGGATTCTGGTTGTAAACATGAGATGTCTGGGTCGGAGGCAAAGGACTTGGTTATGCACAGCACATAACCAAGTGCACAGGCTTCCTTTTCGTGCCCGTTCCCCTAGACCCCAAGCCCCACAATGGTTCTGTATCACAGCTAGGGAACCCACAGTAGTTATATTGGGCTGCAAGCAACTCTGTCTAACCTTTGCTTGGAGGTGAACATTGTGCTACTAGACAGTAAACAAACCTGTCCTTTGCTTCAGAGATATGCTATCTCTAAATCCCAAGGCCGTCTGCTGTGCAAACCTTAAGAAGACAGTTCCAAGTAAGGTCTGTCCCTGCCTCTGCTTGTGAGATGCATAGAAATGTGAGAGACCCATTGAGCATTGCCTCCCAGCACATAGGCACGTATCTGAAGAAAACAAGTTTAATTGCTAAGAAATAGTTCTTACCAAAATAACAGAGGAAGCCTATAAATTTTATGGTGATTTGTGGTTTCCCAACATTTATTATCATCATAAAAATTATATTGTACTTATTGTTATAGTGTCATAATTATTTAACATAACAATTATAACTTCTTTGGACGGTGGGTTTTAAATGGTTCCAAGGAGCCACCACTGTGTAGTTCATATATGTAACACTTCTGACACTGCTACACTGTTTCGTTGACATAATAGGTATAATGCATGTATTATTTGTTTTGGGAGCCCTACTCTTTAGTTCATATATTTCTTAGGGGCTGGTTGGAGGCAGGGAAAGACCGAATTGAGAGAGTATAACACAGATACTAGAGCAAATCTGCATAAACATGCAAGACATAATTTTATCTCCTTTTATCTGTTTATTGATAGGGTTTCCATAAAATATTTAATGTGTAATAAAAAGCATTAATGCTTAGAGAGAAAAGAAGGGAAGGAGGAAGAAAGGAAGAGAGAAATCATTGTTAAAGGTGGTGAATAATGTTTTGGTATCTGTATTAGTCTGTTAATCTGTCTCACGCTGCTATGAAGAAATACCTGAGACTGGGTAATTTATAAAGAAAAGAGGTTTAGTTCACTTACAGTTCGGCATGGCTGGGGAGGCCTCAGGAAACTTACAATCATGGCAGAAGGCACCTCTCCACAAGGTGGCAAGAGAATGAGTGGCAGCAGGGAAAATGCCAGACACTTATAAAACCATCAGATCTTGTGAGAACTCACTCACTATCATGAGAACAGCATGGGGGAAACTGCCCCCATGATTCAGTTACCTCCCCTGGGTCCTTCCCATGACATGGGGGGATTATGGAGATTACGACCGAAGATGAGATTTGGTTGGGGACACAGGCAAACCATGTCAGTATCTTAAATAGTTTGAAAGTTGTGAAGTGGAAGTTCAAAGGGCTCTTCAGTAAAGTAGTAGTGTGTGTTTTGTTGTAGTGAGTTTTGTGACTATTCATATTTCATTTCCTGTGATTAATAGCTACTTACTATGAGATCTCATGTGTTAAAATACAAGCCTAATTCATTCTGGTTCACTGGCCTCCCATGCTGTGAACACTTAAGGTGAGCTGACTCTCAGATTTGAGGAAGTGTTTTAAACCTGCCAAGTGCAGCCCTGTGGTAAGTTTGCGATATTGTTGAAGGACTGGTAAGAAAAAGCCACTTCACCTCAGAGGTCATCATTTAGGGCTAGGTATACTTCTCCATGGTTTTAGGACATTTCCTCTCCTTTCTATTGAATTTGAAGAACTGGGTGCTGTGATTTTAGTGTAACCTATTCCTGTAATTCATAAATGAGAATACTTAGGAGAATATTGAAATAAATGTATGTTTTGGAATTCTATAACTCATATCTTTAAACTGTTTAAAATGTGGAACGAGATTATATGATTTATTGAGAAATATGGATGTATTTATAATTTTGTTGGTTGTATTAGATAATTGTAGGTTAGTTCATTGCAGTAAAAAATATCAGTATGAATCTTTAACTTATGGTTGCAGATTCAATTATTTGGTGACTTTTTGGGGAGTAAAAAGAGGTTTCTTTTTTTGTCTTGTCCTGCAATTTTTAAGTTTTAAAAGTCTAGCCTTCAGTTTGGTCCTGAGTTCAGAATTTGTTTTACATTTAAAACAAAATTGTGCATAATGATTATATTATTATATTCCATCCTCATGGAATACATGAAGTTCTATATAATGTGAAGACAAGCATCATATACAATTGGTAAAAGCAGTATCTCTATAGTTTATAATGTTGGAATACAATGGACAGTTCTCCAGCGGCACAGTAGAGGGCTCCGGAGGCTGTGAGGAGCGCCAGAGTCCGTGCTAGAGAGAGCCGGCGCTCTCCAGCAACGCGGAGCAGTGCGTGCCCCCAGTTCAGTGCTCAGTGAACTCCTTGGCTGTATGCCATAATTAGCCTTCTGTTCCCTTGATTAGAATCAAGGATAGAAATTCATTAATCTGCTTTGTTAGTGGAAAGTGTTAGGAAAGTAATTAATTGTTTAAAATGGTTCTGCAGATGTTTTTTATGAAGAATTTTTTTTTGTATTTTATCCAAGCTTAATAATATTTTTTGTAATTTTGAAAAGTCAGTCTAAACACTATAAACCATAAGTATTAGTGTTTTTTTCCTGTTAATATAAATTTCCTCTCCTTCCAAGGGATTATTTTATGCTTTCATATAGGCAGAAACCTTATTGTTCATGAAATGATGTGAAATACTAAAATTCTATTTCTGCTGTATTTTTCAGGGAATCCGAGCCCGCATTTTAGAGACTCTGGTCATGCTGCTGCTTCTTGCATTACTCATTCTTGGGATAGTGTGGGTAGCTTCAGCTCTCATTGACAATGACGCAGCAAGCATGGAATCTTTATATGGTACGGACGTCCTTGTTTTCACCAGTTTCTTCAATGAAAACTATAGTTTAGGATATAACGACACATTCCGTTTTAAAAACATTTAAATAATTCTGTGTATGGTTAACAAAGACGTTTGATGTTAATTTACAGAATTAAGAAATCTTTAGATATCTTTAAGAATGAAGTTTTATTTCTTTAATATGCAAAGAACAAGTAAGTAGCTTTTCAGATTTTGTTGTTGTTGTTCATTGGTTTTTGTTCTTCAGATTCCATAGAACCTTTTTTTCTCCCTCCAAACAGGTTTTGCTAAAGGCTTACTTCTTGGTTTTCTATTTTCGATCTTTTTATTGTATAATTTAGTCATCATATGGTTTAATAAACTCAAATAGGCAATTACAAGGTTTACATGAGGTGTGAGTCAGCCTCTATCTTATTGTAAAATAGACAGACTGTATCTTAATGTGCAGCATTTTGGATTTATTAAAATATGTTTACTTTTTTAAATAGATCTCTGGGAGTTCTATCTACCCTATTTATATTCCTGTATCTCATTGATGGGATGTTTGTTACTTCTCTGTAAGTATTTTTCAGACTTAATATTGATAGAAAAGTAGAGTTATCCTGTATTCTGGAAAATTGTAGGAAGTTTTCTGATGAGATATTTTAACTATTTGAAGATTTTTTTGAGTTCGCCTTAACTATTTTTATTCAAAATAAATTTTGATAAATGGAAACTTTGAAATAATAAGGTGCTTTTATTGTTCTCTCAGGAAAGCCTCTTCTACCGGGTTGTAGAGAGAGATGGACGGACAGACAGACACATGCACACACTCTCACTCACACACTCATACACAGGTATATACACTGACACACAAACTGCGCACACTCATAAACATATGTCCTACCCTCAACCCCACACACGTCACAATGCTAGATTCTGCTTTTTAATGGAAATGGTAGAATTATGTGTGATGAGTTTGTGGCTTTTTGAAAGTTTGTTTTCTTTTACTTGAAGCATCACAGCCTATCTCAGGGGTATTATAAATAGATAAATATAGTTTAAAGGGCTTAAGACTATGGTTGTCAGCTTTAGATATTCTTGTTTCTCAGTCCTATTAATACTTGAAATTTAACTGATTCTTTGCTCATTTTTCTTTAATTTATTTAAGCACGAGTATTTATTCTTCAACTGCTAGAATCTTGAATATTATTCTAAGCCTTTGCCGTCACATGTCTTTCATAACTATTTATGCCTATCCTCCTCACGTGCCCCTCTAGCTTCTGTATTGATGAAGGTGAAGAGTCCTCTGACAAAACACTGAGAATCTCAACTGGAGAGAAGAATGTTCTTAAAATGAACAATGTTTAAGAAGAATGTTCTTAGAATAATCTTTGAGTTTGTCTTATTTTTATGGTCTAGTTGTTTTTCTCTCCAAGCTCTCTAATGTAGTTTTTTGTCTTTTGGTGATCTTATGTCTGCAGTGTGTACACCAGTTGGCCTTTCCCGTATGTTCACAGTGATGGGTCAGTTGCTAGTGAAGCCAACAGTAAGTATTTAATTATATATCATTTTGTTTATTAAATAAATCTGTTTACATTTGAGCATTTTTTTTAGATTGTGAGCTAGCATTTAGAAATAAAAGAATATTTTTTGTACATTTATCTATCAAATTGTTGTTTCATAATTTTTAAAAATAGAACTTACGTTAAATTTTCAATCTTTGGAAACCAAATTTGGTTTTGCTTTTAAAATACTAACTATAGGCACACAGGTAAAAAGTCGTCTCTCAAATTTTAGTACAAAATTTATAAATATTTACAGGTATTTTAGGTATCCATTGCCTAATAGCAAAAAGTACCTCTATTATGTTTCAAAATTTAGTATGCTTTGATTTACAAAATGGTTATATTTCTGAAAGTTTGTCTGTATATTATGTCGCGATTAACTGAGCCATACTTTACCTTGAATCTTAGAAATGCTGTTTACTAGTTTTTTTGGTTGTAATTCTAATGATTTGTCGCTTTCTTTGGTCTCCATTTTGTCAGATATTTAATTATATAAAAATAATTTCTTAGCTGCACCTAGGAAATGTGTAACTTGTTTTCGTGGTTGCTCATTGCCTGTGAACTGAAGTCTAAACTACTTACCTCTTGCAAAGCCTTTCACAGCCTGGTCCACACTAACCTTTCCTGTAGCTGTCCTTCTGTTTACTCTCACTCTAACTCAGGAGCATACGTGCTGTGCTCTAAAAAGGCTCTATGCAATCTGTCTCCCTGCAAGGTCTCGTACCTGCTCCAGCTACCTAGCAGCCTCCTGAGACCTAGCTCAAGTATCAGCTCCACTGTCTATGTATCTTTGAACCTTGCCTTGCTTCTTCAAGGACAAATAATTAAACTCCTTTCTTTGCATCTGTCTCAGGAGTGATATTTATTAAATCATTATGGTTATGTTTGTCTTCCTTGTTGTGATTCATTTAGGGAAAGACTGAGGAAGTGTTATCGTGGACGTTCTTTTAATAAATGCTTAATTGTGAAAATCATAATATTTAAATTTTCTTTTAAAGATAAAGTTTAATTTTTTATTTATAAAAATACATAAACATGGCTGGGCATGGTGGCTCATGCCTATAATCCCAGCACTTTGGGAGGCTGAGGCAGGCAGATCACAAGGTCAAGAGATCGAGACCATTCTGGCTAACATGGTGAAACCCCGTCTCTACTAAAAATACAAAAATTAGCTGGGCATGGTGGTGCGTGCCTGTAGTCCCAGCTACTCAGGAGGCTGAGGCAGGAGAATTGCTCAAACCTGGGAGGTGGAGGTTGCAGTGAGCCATGATTGCACCACTCCAGCCTGGACAGAGCAAGACTCCATCTCAAAAACACACAAACACACATAGATACATTTTACAAAAAGTGTATAAAAGTTGTATACACACTTGTGTACCACACACACGCGGTCAGGTCTCGGAATTCCTCTCCCTTGTAAAGAGGTTCCGTGACACTGTTTTCATTTAGTTTCTCGTTTGTTGTTTGGTCCTCTTTATCCTTTTCTGCTTCCTGACTCTTAACTCTAGGCAAATGTTTGAAGTTCTGTCATTGGTCAAAAGTTCTATTAATGCTCTGCTCCTAACCATCTCTGCCATTTCTGCATCACTTTTAAATGCTTAATTCTAATGAGGAAAAACAGTGGAAAGAAATTACAGTACATTTTAAGTGCTATAATCGAATAGCCCACGAAGCTGAAAACTCAACTGTATAAAACCAAACTACTTACTTAGCTCCCTTCCCCAAGCTAGTTTTTCTCCTTAACTTGTCTCTTATTAACACTGTCCTCAAAGTCTTATCATTGCTTTTCTTGTGGGTAACATTCAATAATAAAGATTATTTATTGAGTAATGGAGTGTATTATATATGGTAGCAATAAACACTGTATTTTATGCACATAGTTTCATTTTATCCTGATGACAAACATGTAAATTATAGTGGTATTCTTATTTTATGGCTAATCTGATGTCATTTCAGGAAGATTAAGTAGCTTGTCCAAGATCAGAGATCTATGAGATGGGGCAGAGTTTGAACCCAAGAGGCTGATTTCAGAGCCAAAGCTCTGGTCTGCTGTTCTATTCTGCTGTAATCTCCAGAGCTGTAAAACTGCATTCTTGCAGAGTGGACTTTGTACCCCTCCACTTCTGTGTTTTGCTTACAGTTTCCTCTGATTGAAATCCCTTTCTTTCTTTTGGTAATTTAAGATGTCAGATATCTTAAATGTGATGGCTACGACCATCAAAAACTGGCCAAAACTCTTTTCTCCCATCTGGGAATAATTTTTCTTTCTCCGAACTTTTGTAACATTTTATTTCAGCCACCGTTATGACTTTGAGAAATTCTCTATTTTTTAAATTCATCTGATCCTGTTTGCTACACTAGAATATAAGTTGTTTGAGGTCAAGGACTATGTCTTACTCATATTTAAGCCCGCATTAGCTCATAGTGGGTGAGTGTAGGCTTTGAAGGCACACACATGTCTTTGGTAACCCTGTTTCTTGGAATATAAAATGGGGATTGAACAGTCTGTTTTTCATAGGATTGTTGTAGAAATCAAGGAGGATGGTGCTCGTAAGCACTTAACACAAATATATGTGTGTTATTCACATTGTCACTGCATTACTCTATTTTGCATTGCTATAAACCGGAGGCTGAGTAGTTTATGAAGAAAAGAGGTTTATTTGGCTTATGGTTCCGTAGGCTGTACAAGAAACATGGCACTGGGATCTGCTTTGGCTAGTGCTTCAGGAGGCTTTTAATTGTGGCGAGAGGTGAACGAGGAGCAGTTGTATCACATGGCAAGAGAGAGGGGAGGAGGAGGAGAGAGAGGTGCACACTCTTTTAAACAACTTGCTCTTGTGAACAAATACAGCAAGAACTTAGTTATTACTGTGTGGACAGCACCAAACTGATTATTCATGAGAGATCCACCCCATGACCCAAATACCTCCCTCTGGGTCTCACCTCCAGTATTGGGGATCAGATTTCAGCATGAGGTTTGGAAGGGACAAATATCTAAACTACATCAGTCACTCATTCACACTCAGACATACCTGTAGTGATGTTATTCTTGGACAATTTGCATAAGAAAGATGAAAATTCTTTTGTATGTGTTAGACCTTAAGTAAAAACTGTCAATTCTGATCCAAATAGTAGAAAGTGAAGAGAAGTGTTGAAGGAAAAGGAACTTCGGATCATGGCCCCCAAGGATCTGGTCCCAGGCATATGAGTTCCGTCTAGGATTCCTCCCCCCTGACCCACTGCGTCCAGTGGATCCTCTCCATGTACCACTCTTTCTCCTTGGGAGTAGCACACATTCCAGCACGTGCCACTCATTTTAGCCTAAATGTTCCCTCCTTGGAGAGGGCTTGCTGGCTGGCCGTTTAGGTGTCCCTTCCCCTTTTCTTCCTCTTCCTTTCTTCCTCATAGAATGGTCACTCTTTGTCATTGTGTATTTGTTTATTATTGTTTATTTTTATTTTCATATTTACTTGTTCTCACCTCCCAAGTCAGGCTTCTCAAGGATAGAGTTGGCCTGTGTACCCATGATGAGTTCAGTGCGAGACCATAGGGGACCCTAACGATTTGTTGAAAGACTGGGAATTATTGGATTACTTTAAATCAATTTCACAGAAGCTGTATAAATTTGACATCTGATAGGGAATGCATTTTTTTGAAAATCTGTTTTCTGAAAATACTTTAAAATTTGAAAGGAGATGTATATATGGTTTCCATCTTTTTGTCCATTAGCTCCTCACAATTTATTTTTTTGCTGAGTATAAGTAGTTTGGATATGAATGATATGGAACATTAATATCAGCTCTAGATTTCTTTCAGCTAGGAAGATAGTAAGGATCCTCTCATAGAAAGATAGCGATGTTAACAAAACTAGCATTTAATCAATTTTAGGTTTTTTGACAGTGCACACAATATCCCATACAATTGGTAAATGATTAGTATGCTTTTTTTTAAAAAAAACTACTGTTGTATGACTTGGTTTATATGTAAACATACTAATTCTCTAGATTTCTGTCTATTGGGTGATTTTGATAATACCAGTCTTCAGTATTCCTGGAGCATTCTTAGTACATAAAGATGATATAAATGGGAAGTATTGCATGTTACTGATGTAGTTTATGGATTTCTTGATTTAGACATTATGTAGGTAAATGTAAATGAGAAAATGAATGTTGGACTGGGTTTTTGTTTCTTCTATCTCTAAAATATTGGCTTGGGCCTAATGACCTATTTACTGTAGTTAGCTTTTTGGCTGTTTAAAATTATACATGGCTGGGCATGGTGGCTCACACCTGTCATCCCAGCACTTTGGGAAGCTGAGGCGGGTGGATCACCTGAGGTCAGGAGTTTGAGACCAGCCTGGTCAACATGGTGAAACCCTATCTCTACTAAAAATATGAAAATTAGCCAGGCATGGTGATGCGTGTCTATAGTCCCAGCTACTACAGACGGTGAGGTGGAAGGATGGCTTGAACCCAGGAGGTGGAAGTTGCAATGAGCTGAGATTATTGCACCACTGTACTCCAGCCTGGGCAACAGAGTGAGACTCTGTCTCAAAAAAAAAATTCATACACGTAGGCTGTATTTCAGAATGTTGCAGAAAAAACCCTAAAATTCATACATGTGTTTGCCATTGAGAAAACAGAGTCCCTTAGCTTAATCCTTTAAACTTCAAAAATACCTAATTTAAATGTATATAGGGTTTGTGGTAACTTTTGATGTGTTTGGCTATATACTAAAGTATTTATACTTAATTTGTGAGTAAAATAGTTGTAGCTTTTTTATTTTGGATTCTTAGAAATTTGAATGAATACATTATCTGAATGAAATTAATAGACCAAGTAGCCTAAATGGTCTCATAAGCATCTGTTTTGCAATGTTGAATTATTGAGTAGTTTTATCTTTAAATTTAGATTCTTGAAGACCTGGATGAACAAATTTATATTATTACCTTAGAGGAAGAAGCACTCCAGAGACGACTAAATGGTATGTATATGCTACATATTTAGACTGGGGTAAAAACTTGTTAATTTCCAAAAGATAGATAATTGAAGGGAAAACATATAAACCTCTCAGTATCTTATGCTGTTTGTTACAAGAGGAGGACACTTGAGAATAACAAAAGAACTTCTTTGGTGAAGAGAGGTTTATAGAAGGCCCTGGCTGAGATGAGCTGTAACCTAAGAAGGCCCATTCTTTCTCAGACTTTGGCCACTGAGGGCCTTGGCATCTCTCTACTGCCAACTGCATTTATGTTGTAAGCATGTGACTTTAAAGTTTAATTTTTGATTACTGATCGGTTTTGAAGGACCAGTGAAGAAAAGGGCAATGCTATAGTTTGACAGAGAAAAGACATAGTGTAGGTAAATTTTCTTTAATTTTACTTAAGTAATATTCAAATGTTGAAAAACCAGTCTCCCACCAACAAGATCAGATACTAGCTAACTGCATTTCAGAATTATAATTCAAGAGAAGATATAAAATGCAGGGTCAGTTTATGAAATACTGAGAAATGGGTAGAAAGATACCTCCCTTCTTCAGTTATAAATAGTGAATCTAAATCATCAACCCAGAAGTGTTGATAATATTTTAGAGCTTTTTTCTTAGATCTCAGAATTTAGGTTTGTATCTGTTCTAGAGGACTCTTGTCAGTAACATTATATGGTTTGATACAGATAAGCTTTTAGACTGGAACTACGTATGTATTTTATTCTTCTAACAATTAAAACTACTTTGATGTTTAGACTTACTTAATTTCAGGATTATAAACTTTAGTCAACAATGTCAGCTTTATGAAGTTCCCTTAAAGCAGTAAATATTATGATAAATGTGTCTTATTTGGATAGTCATGCTGCTGTGCGATAAACATGCCTGAGTTATAAAGAATACTTGTCAGGCTGCGGCCTGCAGTGTGGAAATGTTTCAACCTCAGGTGTATGCCATTTCTGTTTCATAGATTAGGAGACTCACATCCAGGAAGGGTAAAATGTAGTGTCTCATGAATTGAAGAATTTGAATTCACTTTCATCAAAACAAAAGAAAACCCCAAAATACAGCTTTTCTCACTTTTCCCTTCTACAGCAGGAAAATTAAAAAAAGTCTTTCTAGAATCTTTCTAAATCCTTTCGCTCCTCAAATTTAAAAGTGGCTAATTATATATAAAGAAATTGAAAAGGAAACCCTTGCTAATTATGTTAGAAAATGAAGCCAAGCCCAAATCAGTAAACATAGCTCTCTAGCATAGAAATGTTGTAGAAAAGAGATGAAGTGAACCTGGAGAGGACGGAGGAGGATATGGTAACTAATGCAAAATGTAACTTTTTGCACATCATTTGGATAGGCCGTGACAGTTTATGATCTGTTTGCTAGATTGTCTAAAATCTTTTCAGTGAAACTCTTTTTTTTTTTTTTGAGATGGAGTCTCACTCTGTCACCCAGGCTGGAGTGTAGTGGCACAATCTTGGCTCACTGCAACATCTGCCTTCTGGGTTCAAGTGATTCTTCTGCCTCAGCCTCCCAGGTAGCTGGGACTATAGGTGTGTGCCACCATGCCAGGCTACTTTTTTGTATTTTTACCAGTAGAAACAGGGTTTCACCATATTGGCCAGGCTGGTCTTGCACTCCTGACTTCATGATCCATCTGCCTCAGCCTCCCAAAGTGCTGGGATTATGGGTGTGATCCACTGTGCCTGGCCTGGCACCCGACGTGGGGCTCGAAGAAACTCTTAAGTGATATGTTAGGATAATTATGATTTTGCTGCTTGCTGCTGGTTAGTCACTGTGTACTATTTCAGGTGGAAAATAAAGAGCTAAATGATTTATGTTTATAACATAAACAGTTCTATGGCAAAATGGACATTTTGACTATTACAGGTTAAGAATTGTGAGCTTCAGTAGAGGATGCTTATAAATATGTGTAGGAAAGCAAAACTAAAAAAAAAAATCATGACTTACCATTTCTTAAGAAAATAGAAATAGGAGGTTAGTAAGAGAAATCATCCCCGATTTGATTTAATCGAGTATTAAGACTAGTGAGTTCCTGTCTCAGGAACACAGAACTCCTGCAGGTCTGTGTTTAGAACTGTTACTTTCTATTTTAAATTATAAAACAAAAGTAAAGTTTTTATTCTTTTACTCTTGCTATTAAAAAGAATTCCAGAATAAAGAGGGTAAAAGACTTTTTAAAAAATACAGATTCCATTGCTGATTCATCAGAGTCCCAGTGGCACTTTTTTAGTGTGTGTTGGAATGTGTGGTGCACATCGCAGGAATCTTTGGGGTGTCAGTGTGGCTTACTCTGAGCTCAGTTGTGCAGTTACGCAAAAAAACATGGCAGCCAGCACCAAGGAAGTGCTTCACTGTAGAAATAACACTACTATTTTTTTTAAAGTAACATGAGTTATTGTGGTAGTTATGGTATTACTGGAATTGAATTTTCATGCCTGGCTTTAAAAATAATCAATACAGCTTTGTGTTAGAATGCCTGACTGACTTCTCAATTGTTTGACACTTGATGGTGCTGTGGATATAAAGTTATTGGGAGGTTTTGTTCTTGTTAGTAGTAGTATTGTTTCATGGAATGTTAAGAAAGTCAAGCAAAGCTGTGTGCTGTGATACTGTTAGTTGGTATCCTGAATAAGCCATTCTGTTATCAGCTGCTCTCTACCCTTTCTCCTTCCCTTTTTTGCTTATTGCACATCTTAATTACGCACCAGATATTGTGCAGATGAATTAAGACTCTGAGTCTCAAGATCATAGACTAGGTGACTGAAGAAGGAGAAAAAAGGGCAAGAATTTATAGATTTTTATCTAGTACTTAACTACTTAAAAAAAAAGTATAGAGAGGAAGGAGTTCTGTGTTCCTGAGACAGGAAGGAGTGCCAGAGCACCTGTGGTTTGGCTAAGACACTGCCTCCCTCACATCCCTGTTGTCATGGCAGGAGTAGAGAGATGTCCACAGAACTCACTGTGATCCCGGCAGGCGGCCTTCCCCTTCCTGCCCTGCAGCACGCAGCCTCCCCTCTGGCCTCTGCACTAATGGGTACATTTTGTCCACCACTTCTCTTTATCATGGTCAGCACATGGAGCCCAGAACATCCAGGTTCCTTGCACCCTGGACTGCCCCCATGTCTCTATACATCCCATTTCTGACCTCATTTTCCACTTTCCTCTAGCTCCTGAAACTTTCTGCTTGTGCTGTTTGGAACAGAGGGTTAACTCACAAACAAAACCCCTGTATCTTCAACTGCCATTTTCTTGCTCAAAGAAACTTGGCATGCATTCCTGCCACCCGCTCATGGGAGGGCTCACTTCTCCCCACATCCATCATTTGCTGGTCCTGGAGCTGGAGTAGGTGCCCTCCCATTCCTGTTACTGCTCTCCAGCGCTGTGAATCTCATGCCATCAGAGCATCGCCAGTTCCTGTCGTTTGCTCACCTCCCAGGCCTTTTCTGCTTCCCTCTAGAGGATTTTTGCCCCTGGTTTCTAATCCTTTTCTGATTCTGTGCCTTTTTCATGGTTTTTTGGTGTCTGTGCGTGTGTCTTTCCCATCACTCTGGGACACTCCTTGCCTGTCCCTGTGGTAGCCTGCCTCACCCGCCCGTGCCTGTGACATAACCCACTCGAGTTCTTTTGCATAATCTTACAGTCAAGCATCCTATCCACCTACTACTTCTTCTTTTTCCACATCATTTCTTCTAGTCCTCCCAATTCCTGCAGTTATTCAGTGTGGAGATTTAGCATGCCCTGATCCTAACACCTTTTCTCACCCCATCATTTCCCCATCCTCCGACTTCCTTGCACAGTTCACATTCCTGGGCTGTGGCTGGAATCAGTCCCCTGAAAACACTCTTAGCTCCCTCCCGTGGTCTCACTGTATTGTTCTGGATCCAGCAAACCCAGAGCCTTCGTTCTGCTTGCCTTTGCCTGTTCTGTGCTCTCACTCCTGGGTGGCTGACTGACCCTCCTGCCTGGCCTTCCTTTATGTGTGACCAGTATCTTCAATTAACTTTACATTCTCCCAGATGACTTTGTTCTGTCTTCTTTCCTCAGATCTCCACCATCCTTACTCTCCATTGGTGACCTTGTTTTCTATTTTCTTAAGAAAATGGAAACAATCATAAGAGAATTTTCACAAGCTTTTTCCTTCATGCCAACCCCCCTTCCTGCAGCTCCCCTCATGTCTGTTGCTCTTTCCCTTGATGCTGTGGCTGAATTGTCTGTGTGCCTGGCTAATGCCAGCCCTCCCCTGGTGCCCTGGATTCCTCTTCTCACGGATTTAAGGACACAATCTAGCAGTTCTCTTTCTCTGTCTCTCTCTTTCTCGTTCTGTTTCTGTCTCTCTCTCTCTCTCTCTCTCTCTCTGTCTCATGATCCAATTTTTCCCCACCTGGATCCTTTACATCAGCATAAAGATAAGCTCTAATTTTCCCAGGAAGAGACGGGGGAAGGAACCTGCCTTTACCCTATCCCTCCCAGCTTACCACCCATTCCTTTGCTCTTTATGGCAAAGCTCACATGAGTTGTGTGCTCACAGGTTTTGATTCTAAGTATCACATTTTGTTTTGAAACTCACTCTTGCTTCCATTGTTCCATGAAAATGCCATGGTCAAGTTGGTCTGTGACTTCATAGTTTTTATCTTACTCTCTTTCCTCCTCGAAATCTCTTTTATTCCACTTGGTTTTCAGTTCACCATACTTTCCTGTTCCTTTTAGTTAATGGGCTGCTTTTTCTCCGTCCACTTCGCTGGCTTTTCTGTGTCTATAACTTCTTCCTCTGGAAAGTCTTGTGTCTCCATCTTTAAAATTCTGTTTGCTTTTACTCCCGTGGCATTTCATGGCTTTAAATACCACCTATAAGCTGCTGACCTCTACTCTTTGAAATTAAAGATCTAACTATCTGTTAGATGTTTTCATTTGGATGTCCAATAGGCATCTTAAACATATGTCCAAAATAAACTCAAGATCTTACTCCTAGATTTTGCTTC